CCAATTGCACATTCTATTTGTCAACACATAATCGGATGATTTCGCATCTGATATAATACTTTCAACGAAGCTGATAAAATGAATCAATTCACTTCCTAATTGTAAGGAATAGGCCTGAACAAATGAAATTTACATGGATGCAACTGTAACTTCACGCTCGATCAGATTCGTCTTCGCGTTCGAACTCCCAAAATCAACTTCGAATTTTGTTAACCGATGCAAACTACCATTCTGAAATGAGGTTTGCATAAACATCAAATTCTTTCTCGAATCAATAGATGAAGACAAAATCAACTGTTTCAAATTTGTTCTATACATCCAATAACAGAGAACAAAACTCAAAAAACTACCAGTAAATAGTACACAAATCAACGAGCCTGTATAAGAAATGGATTCAATACTGCGCCACTCGCTCCCGTTGACACTATGAGCAATTGTGATTTTGGCTAAAAGCAATAAAGATGACATGAAAATTGGAGGAACATTTAACAACAACAATAACAACAGATGAGGCCCTCATTTTGCTCCCAATCACATCTGTGTTTCTTTGCGGAAAATAAGGAATAGATACGATAAATGCCGGAATATCAAACAAACTTCGAATGGTTTTACTTACAAAATAAAAAAAACTCACGTAATAAATGAACCAATAAAGTGATATGTTGTATGTCTTTAAAAGTTTTGTATTCTTCTTCTCAACGTTCACCTGGTAAAGTTCCAGTCCCTGAAAATTAAAGAATACTCGATCAGCAATCGTCATATTTCAATAATGTTTCATTGCATAACATCATCAAATCGCTGAAAATCAACTAGAATAATGATGCGAAATCAAGAAAAATTTTGCATTCGAATAGAATTCGAATAAAATGGAGAGTTTCCTTACACGATTTTGGATATCAGTAAATACAAAAATGATTTGTTGAAGTCTGACCTGATTAGTTACGAATAGCAATTGATTGTTCGTGAGCCATTCTAGGCCAACAATGCGAGCTGAGCGCATTTTTGTGGACTGTGAGAATTGTGTTGTGACCAAATCATCAGCGGTTGATGAAAGGCATATGAAATCCTTAATCAAGTCACTCTTACACGTTCTTCATGGTTAAAACTCATCTCTGATAGCAGAGCATTTTCACAAAATCGGATTGAGTCTTATGCTGGCAAAAATTTATCGTCTACCCAAACTCCGTACGAAACTGATAACCTTCTGGGAATGACACTAGACTTGGTCAAAGCATTAAGATGAATCGGGTTGATGAAATGATCACTTACCACTGAAGATTCCTCGCATTGAATACTCGCAATTCGTTGATCGGGTGAGAATTTCATTATTTTGATCTTACCACTGTCTTTCATTCTAGAATCAACAATTACAGAGGTGGCGCTAATTTTCGGTGCTTGATTGGGTTTGTAATTTGGTGACGATAAAATGATAAGTGCAATGAAGAACGTGCCTGAATGAGACCATATCTTTTGAGTTCAACCCTTTCGCGGTCACCCCGAGGGCTCCATTCCCACGCACCGTGCAGATCTGTCAACAGTTGAAAATTATAGCCACAAATTTCCTACTGAAACGCCAATAACATTTTGCGCAGCACACAGCTGCTTCTGCATAAAACAATTGCA